GTGCTCTTGGAAGTGTAAAGACATTCCTGATGCGCAGAAGACGCTCTCCCACTTTGTCCACTATAATTTTCGTTGCTTCTTCCCCTACTTCAGTGGAGGAAGATACGGCGAGTCTCTTAGGGATGAGCCGACGACGGACCATCACACGTCTCTTCCTCGTGGCGCATTCCGATGGTTGGTAAACATTCGGCCGGGGTATCACATCCTACGCACAGGTTCTGTGTGTTACCTCGAGCCGTACATCCCTTGCAGGTTTGCCCGCCAGTTTGGGTACGATCAATTGTACGTGGGCAACGCCAATCCCCGCCTACACTTCGAAGGAGGACTGGTGGACGGAGCTCGTGGATGGTTCTGGACCCATGCTGGTGGCACCCAGGCTCGCTTTGAATTACCCGCGAAGGATCGTGATTTGCACCACACGCTCCTATACTGCCGGTGGTATCGGGGCGCCAGCGCTAATCCCTCTGGTTTCTGGTTCCAGAGCTCATGTCTGACGGAACGCGATCGTCCTCTCAGAGGGTCTCTCCGTTCTTCAAGGCGAAGGGGCCGCCAAACTGCTAGGGAGCTGTTCTCAGAGGATCCAGCTGAGGACACCGAGAGTTTTGATGCTGGTTTAGATGAATCTGAGGCTCCCGAGGTTCGGGTTCCTTCTCCTGGTCCTTCGTTGGATGCCCTTGGTGAACCAAGGGAATCCGGACGCCCAAGACCGGTCTAGAGCCCAAGAGTTGGACAGATGGGGACGTCTCTTCTGTCTCCGAGTAGCTCGCTTCTCTCTAAACATCAACGAGAGACCGCGGCCGAAAGTTCTCGAGCGAAGGCGGTCAAGAAGGCCCGTCACGATGAGACGGTCGAGACCACCCGAGCGGCGGAAGGGCAGGATAATGTTCCCCAGGTAAGTATCTCCGCGTCGGGGTCTGGAGCTGTGCTGCCCGCCTCTCCTGCCACATCGGGGGCAGTTCCGGCGATTTCGAAGGATGCTCCTCCGCAATCTGGCGTGAGGCCACAGACAGGAGTTCCAGCGGTTTTTGCGTCTGCATCAGGAGGTAATCTTTGTAACAGTACCTTTGAGCGCAACGTTGACTTTACATTTTTTGACACTTGTATTGGGCCTATGCAGGTGCGGTTGAGAAAGCGATCTCCATTCCTTCTGATGAAGAGGAGGAGGTTGGAGATGAAGAGGGGCCCATAGGCTCAGGTAAGCGTAGGTTTTAGCATTACTCATTCTTCCGTACCCAACAGTCAATAGGGTCCCTTTCGAGGGGCCTCTATTAACCCTCTTCGTGTGCTTGTAGCTGATCCTGCCCATGAGGCTGCTGGCAAAGAGGATCCTACGTCTTGGGTGAGTCGCTCGTCTGGTGACACGGGCGAATCTGAGGAGGATGATGACGTCTCGGTTCATGAGGCGTTGTCCAGTGAGGAAGAGGTGTTGGCTCGTGAGGATGCGCCTGGCCAAATAGAGAGATCTCCTGCCCCTGCGGAAGCGTCGGCTAGGGATCGTCCATCAGCGCGAGAGTCGCTTCCACTCCGCAAGTGACCACTTCCTTGTCGGCGGCGGCCGTTGATGCTGTGACCGCTGCTCCGAGGGCGTCATTGGTCACACCGGCTTTGGCGGCGCCAGTCCCTACTTCTACGGTTATGACCACAGGTACTCCCACCGTGATTTCATCTACTATAGAGGATGCTGCCCTCTCTCCCTTGGAGCGCGAGCGAAAAAGGAGTGCGGCACGATCCGTGGCTGATTTCCAAGACACTTTAGCCGGCTGCATCAAGCTCGCTTTGGATGAGAGTTGCCCCTTCGAGAGCTTCGAAGAGGACCTCGACTACATCGTGTGCTTCTTAATCAAGAGGCTTGGTCACACTGCGGCGAAGCCCTACTTCCAGCGTAAGGAGGAAGTGAAGGAGGCTATTCAACAGTTGCTTGCCCTTCATGCGAAGAGTTCCACTCTTGTGGACCTTGCATCCGACGAAGTCCGAGCAGCGGTGGAAGAACGCGATCGCCGCCTGAACGAGACCATGTCACTGGAGGCAAGATTGTCAGCAGAGTTAGAGCAGGCCAAGGCTGAGGATGAACGAATGGCCCTCGAGGAACAGAAGGCCGATAACCGCGTTTCTCGCTTGTCTTCGGAGGTCAAGAATCTGAAGAAAGTTATAGCTAAAGCGCAAGCCTCATTGGCCATTCAAGAGAAGGCTTGTGACAAAGCGGTCAAGGAATTGGAAAACATTGGATCCCGCCGGGCACTGACGGCGAATTCCATTGGGGAAAAGGATCGAGCCTATAGGGAGGTTAAGGAGACCGTCCAAGACTTGGCCTCACGCACTGATGACGATCTTTGCCAGGAGATCTTGAGGAGGCTAGAGCTTCGTCATGCTAGGGAGATTCGTAAGGCGAAACTGTGGTTGAAAGCCTTGTAATTTGCCTCTTTTTGTCTTTGATTGCCAGTTGTACTAGGATTTCTTTTTATGAATGAAATTATCCTTTTGTTTTTTGGCTACTGTGCATGCTCCATTTCTCCTTTAACATGTGTTAGCTAGAGCGTTAGTTATGAGGGGTTGTCTTCAGCTGTCTGCGAATTTCGGCCATAAGCCTGTCTCCTCTGCGAGCGGATTCCGTCCGCAGGCGGATTTGGAATTGACTCAAATTCCAGAAGGGCAATCAGCTTTGACCCGTGGGAATCTCAGCGGCGAATTCACCATCAGATATGCTCCGCTTTCGGTGGGCCACGTATTGGTTTGTGCTTACGTCAGCCGAGAGAACGTGGGCACGTTGCTCCGTACTGAATGCGGCGTAGTGGGGCTCTTCGTCCCTCGCGCCCGATTCGGGCCATTGTTGAAGATTGCGCTTAAGAAAAACCGTTGGATCTTGGCCGTCCAGGTAAGGTCCGATTTGTTCGGCCTTACCCTTCAACTGTTTTAGCCTTGAACGATCTAATCAAGTATTGAGTAACCGCCTAGGGTTCTTAGGGTATTTAACACCCTTACTCTCTATCAAGAGGATCTATAGCCTTTTCATTGTCTTCCCCAGAGTAAACCCAATTTTTCCTTCCTCATACCCCCGATGGCGCCGAAGGTGAAGAGGGTCGCTTCTAAGAAAAGGAAAGAACCGTCTTCTTCGAGCGCTGCTGAGGCCGCCACGGCCGAAGGTATCTTTCTGTTCTGACTCTCGCGTGGGTTGAACAAGTATTCTTCCCTTGACTCCTCTCTGTGTTGTTGTTGTGTTTTGCAGATCGAGGGGAGGCGCCGGCTGTCGAGGAGCATGCGACCGAGCCTATCCTGATTTCGGACGACGAATCTGAGGGTCCAGCGACCTCCGTCGCCTCAGACTCTGCTCCCCAGCCGGGAGCTGAACCCTGCCTCGAGATTTCGCCCATTATGGCGCTCGCTCCGAGCCAAGAACCTGCTCCCTCCGAGTCCTTGTCCTGGCAGGCTCGCATTGAAGAGTTTGAGAGCGCTGTGAGACAGGTGATTTCCCTTGTCGACCTTGGCATGGGTAGCTTTGACATTGAAGAGTTTGAGAGCGCTGTGAGACAGGTGATTTCCCTTGTCGACCTTGGCATGGGTAGCTTTGATAGCTTCAGCCAATCTCTCCTTGATCGCGTGGCTAATTTGCGACGATCGGGCAAAAATCGGCTCGCTACCCGTTGCATGCACGAGCTCCGTCTCTTGGAGTCACGCATGATAGGGTTAGAGACCTTGCTACGGGAAGGTCCGGAAGCCAACATGGAGTCTTGCCTGGCTCACGTCAGGCGTCAGGAAGCCCTGGAGCAGGAGACCCATTCCAGAGAAATAGCGGATTTGGAGTTCGTCGCCAATTTCTGGGTGGGTCAACAACATTTGCTAGAGGAGCAAATTATTGACCTCAATCGCACTATGGCTCGCCTGAGGGCCGAATTGGGACAGGCGGAGGCGAACTTGAAGGGGGCTCCAGTCTGACATTGTAAAGGTCAGTAAGAACGCTAAGACGGAAACTCGACGCCTGCTAGCCTTGCGCCAGGCAGATGCTGCCGCCAGGTCGAGCCGCGAGGACCGTATTCGGAAGGCTGCTGAAAACAAGGCTCGAGAAGACTACGCGAGCAAGGTGGAGGCGGCCAAAGAAGAGATCTCCACTTTTAGCGTGTTCGACTGAGACTTCTGCCTTATGATTATGTTAAGACATTTTGTTTATGACTTGTTTGTTTATGAAGTCATAACTTTGTTCAAATGTATTGTCTTAAGAAAACTGGGTGCATGTTTTGCTTCTTTGAACGTAATGTTACGACTTCCGCTTTTGCAAAAAGACCATAACTTTGTTCAAATGTACTGTTTAGAAGCATACCATGAGGCCTGTGTCTGATCCTCGTGCGTATACTCTTTTGATATGTCGCTTTCCAGTGTTTCGCTCTGTAATTGCTGACAATCTCGTGCCGCAGACAAAGTCTCTTGCATGACGACGAGTCCATTGTCAAAGCCAAACTCTATTCTGATGAGTTTATGCTGGTGGCGAAACTAAAGCGATGGTGAGTTCGCTAGGATGATGAAACTCGACTCCTGATGATTTCATATTGCTGGCGAAACTCAACTGATTGACGAGTCCGTTTGCAGGCGAGACTCGATCGCGGCGAGTTTTGCTTGGAGGTTAAACTCAGCTGCTGGCGAGTTTATACTGCAGGCGAAACCCGTATGATGGTAAGTCTGCGTTTGAAAACCAAATTTGATTGATGGCAAATTTACGTTGCAGGCGAAACTCGTATGATGGCGAGTTTACACTGCAGGCAAAATTTGGATAGTGGTGAGTTTGTCCAACAGTCAGAAATCCAACTGTGGGCGAAGCTTGTGCCACGCGTCTGTCTGCGGGCCTAAGTGCTTGCCAGCTAAGACTCTGCAGGCGCATTAATGCTCATTAATGGTGAAGCGACCGAACGCTTTGCCTATCGTGCCCAATCCGATCGGTCGGTTTGGGGTCTCGAGAGGAATGGCCTTTATTGGCGTTGAGTTCGAAGCGTCGCAGGACATCTGGGCCGCTCGATCGCTTGGGGTAACAAATCTCAGCCGTTGAGTTCTTTTCGAATATATATCAGTACTCGCCTCTCTTCAGCAGAGTTCTTACTGCTTCGAGAAAAATCCGCTAGAAGGAGATTGCCGCAGAGAGCTTCTCTTCCTCATGGCTTCCTCTTCTGATCACAGCGATTCCGAGGGCGTCGGCTCTTCTGCCACCGTCGTCGACGTCGGCACCCTGCCGGCCTCTCCTGCGGGTTCAGTCCATGGGTCTTCTGCTTCGGACCCCGTGGCTCACCCCGCGTTCGTGCCCCTCTAGAAGTTGGTGGATTTGGTGCAAAGGATCGCCATCTCGGTCAGCGTGGGCGACGGGCGATATTATGATGCGCTTCCTCTCGTGGAAGCGGGTTTAGAGGCGGTCCGCCGCGCGGGTGATGCCTCGTTACACGGTGATGTTGCGCGGGAGCTTGAACGCTTCGTGGAGGGGTGGATGTACCGCGGCGTCGAGGAACTGTCCATGACGATCCCTCTGACGTTCCACCGCCCCTCTCGCTGCGTCTCCTGCTCGAGCGTGAAGAGGCGGGCGAAGCGAATATTCGGGCCGAAGGAGGCTGAGCTCAGACGTCTGCGGAAGCGACACCAAGCGGTACTGGACCGGATGGACGAGCTTACCTGGACAGGCTTTCTTCGAGGACGCTGGCTCTCTTCGTGGTGAGCAAGGCTGCGGGAGCCTCAGTGAGCGTGAGGCGAGGAGGCTCGGTGAGGCCGCCGGAGCGGTGGAGAGGGAGCTCTAACTTCTTCGCCAAGAGGAAGAAGACAGCGAAGTGGACTTGGCCAGGCGGCAGCAGGAGCAAAAGGAGAAGGCGAGGATCCGGCGTGAGGCGGATCGTGCTGCGGTCAAGGCTAAGATTGGCTCTTTTAGCCTGCTGAAATTCCTGTAATGCTCATGCTGTCTAAGTCCTCTTTTTTTTTTGTTGTTTCGTTAACTTAGTTGGTGCCTCGGGCATCACAACTAAACTGAAAACTTATGTAAATTTTTGCCCGTTGTGGCTCTTTTGCTAGTTTTGCTTATCCTTGCCTTGCATGCACAGTTTTCTCTTTCTTTGTCTGTGCTGTTTGGCATTTGAGTTGAACCTGGCGAGCCTCTGACCATTCTGTTTTGGACTTAGTCGTTTTAGGCTCTTGTTCTATTCTCTGTTGCTCGCAACGTGGGATCGGGTTAACTCCGATTTTCACGTTGTAGCTCTGATGGGATCAAGAGGGTAACACTTGGTTTGCAGCGAAGAACAATCGTTTGCTTCTGCGGCCAACTGAAGGACTTAACTTCAACTCGCCTCTTGGCGAGTTGTTGCCTGGGGAATCGACAGACAAGTCGTCTGCCGAACCGCCTTCGATAATTGTCGACATTTGGGAATGCGACAATTGATTGTGGTAGGAGTCATCGCGTGGTAGACTCCACCCATCAGTTATCCTAAAGGAATGTTAGAATATCTGGAATAGATCAAATAGTTCAGGGACGTAGGAGTGTGACTATTGACAGGAGTAATAGCACATCACGTGGTA